TCATGCCTTGCAACGCGTTCTGCGCTATCTCAAAGGCACTTTGAATCATGGTCTTCTTTTTCGCAAGGGGGGATTCGACCTATCTGTCTACTCTGACTCTGACTGGGCCAATGATAAAGATGATCGCAAGTCTACCACGGGCTACATACTCCTACTCGGTCCTAATATCATCTCTTGGTGCACGAAAAAGCAGACTCGTGTTTCTAGATCATCCACTGAAGCTGAATATCGAGCTATGGCTGCAGGGGTTGCAGAAGCTATGTGGCTTCGATATATCACTGATGCACTGGGTATTCCTCCGTCCAAACCGAAGTTATACTGTGACAATGAGTCGACTATCTGTGTCACCAAAAATCCGGTTCTTCATGATCGCATGAAGCATGTGGGCACAGACTGTCACTTTGTACGAGATGAGGTTATGGCAGGCACTATGACTCCACATCATGTTTCCTCCTCAGAGCAGCTAGCAGACATTCTTACCAAACCGCTTCCTCCAGTTCCTTTTGAGTACTTATGTTCCAAGCTGCCCCTCGTCTCCATTGATCAGCTTGCGGGGGGATATTAAGAAGTATAATTAAATTAGGATACTTCTTTCCTTTCCTACTAGGATTATTCTTTCCTATTCCTACTTGTACTTTGATTACTCTTGTATTCCCTATATATAGGGTCATATCTCTCAATATTCAATAAGATAAGTTATTATCAAATTGTATCACAAATAACTTTCACATAGTCTACGTCGCCCAAACTTTTGCAGCTACTTCAACTTCCTACCTACTATAGGCATTCCATATGTCACGCTAAAGACAACAAAATGATAAGAAAGTGCAAAACCTTCACAAAATAGCAAAGTGGCACATAAATCTGGTGAACCACATAAAAACCGAACTCTAACTTGCAATAGAACATATTACACTCAAATTTATAATTGCAATGATTAGCTTAATCTAAATATGTCTATACGTATTTAAGCACACAGAGATTGGATAAAATTAAGGCCCCTAAAACATGTTCGTAATTATAGTTACCAACTGTAAATATTACAGCATTTCAACCTTTTATGTCTAAAATATATTTTTGATAATGGACTTAATACAGTAATACAAAACAAAAAGAATTGATGATGAAAAGAAGTAAACCTAAAAAATTCCATGCATTAGGCCAGTGAAGTATTTGTAGTGGAAAAGAGACAATCTGTAAGTGATTTGTCTTATTGATCCAAATGATAATTTGGGGGCAATCTTCCCATAAAGCCTATGACATGTATCAAAAATTTCAAATTTATACTCTGCATTAACATAACATATGGAGTAATGATTTTATATATATATATATATATATATATATGGTATATGTAGAGTGATCAATGTGCCCATGCATAGTTGATTCATCTTTTTTTCTTGAAAAACCTTCAATGAATTTTCGGTTGTTAAAATAACTTCAACATTAAAGTAGTAATTGTTCAAAAGCAAATAATCATAAGATAACCAAAATGAGCTTCACCGTTAGGCTTCGTTTGGTAACAGCGTTTTGGATAAAATTTTAATGGTGTAGATTAAATCTAAAAACGCTAACGCTAAAGGCTACCATCGGATAGCTTTTTGAAAACGCTAACGCTAATCTCTAACGCTGATGCCAAACGGTGCCTTAGCCACTTAGCGTATAACATCTAAAAAGTACTACCTCCGTCTCACTCTTTTTGTCCAGTTTTGACTTTTGGAACTGTTCATCTAAACACTTTAACTCATCAAATTCTCTCAATGTGTAAGTCTAAAAATAGTCATGTGTGATCTTGTTTGATTTGTCTTAACATATAGATTATTAATATATAATTTTTATAATTTTTTAATATACAAATTAAAAGATAAAATGGATTAAAGAAGTGCATTGGATGGTGTGCAAAAATGAAAGTGGACAAAAAGAGTGGGACGGAGGGAGTAAAAATTAAGAAAAAGTAAAACACATAATGGAATCATCTTAGCAAATTCTTCTTCATTGCTCTAGTTTTATAAAATCCTTCTAAATAAGAGGAAAAGTTTGTTGTTATTCTTCTCCCTTGATTGAAAAGGTTGCACTTAAAGGTTTAATTAATTCAAAATGTTTTCAAGAGGGCAAATGAAAATTTCACTTCATCCAACAACACTGCCATGGACTTTCAAGAATTATAATACACAGAATGATTGCTTTTCATTCAAATCATATATTAAGTCCACCAGCCTACAAAATTCTTTGCTTTCAAAACAGATTTTAAAATTAATAAAAAAATATAAAATTTACTTTAAATAGATCAAAAGAATTAAATTGTATTTTACCCCAATCAGGAGTCTAAGACAAACTCTATTATCCTTCCAAGAACAAACGAATTGTGATTCCGCCAAACCCCCTACCTTCAAAACACACACAATAAGATAAAAAGTTTTAGTAAGATAAAGAAAAAGCTTGAAACCTAAAAGAGAAGAGATGGAGTAGCAATGGGTGTAGCATTGAAAAAGCGATTTTGATGGATCTATCACCCAATTGAGGCACTGTAGCTGCAACTTCCGGTCAAAGCCCCTCCCCTTATACTTGTAAGAACAAAAATACCAAAAAAAACTTGAGAACAAAGTGGCAGTAAAACAAAATACCTGAAGACAATGAAATGTTGTGAAGAAGGTGATGAAAAATGAGAAGCGCACCCTCCCCTTATCCTTCTAAGAACAAAATTACCCAAAAAAACACTTAAGAACAAACTGACAGTAAAAGAAAAAAACATGGGCATAATGAAATGCTAAGCTGCTGAGAAATGAGAAGCATACCGAGCCCAAAAGCTAAAAGAGAAGAGATGAAGTAACACTAGATGGAGCATTATTAGAGCAATTTTGATATATCTATCACCCATTCGAGGAACTATAACTTCAATTTCCAATGGAAGCCCTACCCCTTTGTTCACCTTCCGCCGGAATAGTTGTACAATGCTTCGTTTCAAACCCTGTCCATGGCAGTAGGAATTGAAGGTCAAAACCCTAGATGTTTTGCCTTCCAAATTGAGAGAAGAGAAGAAAAAAAGAAAACCCTAATTGATATCGTGGAGCAGAGGAGCATACAGACTAGCACAGGTCTCAAGATTGACAGAAGATTGATCGGCATGTGCAATGCTTTTTCTTTTTTGAAGCAATCTCAAAATATTTTGTGAATCTATATCATTAATGCCCAATAAATACTCGTGCCAATACAACATGTTCCACGCGGCATCCAATAAAGTGAA